GTTCATTTGAATAATTAGGGGCAGATATCAATTGTGAAATCTAAGCTCTAGCAACCACTTACATGACTATGATGATATAAATCCCCATTTCTTCCTTTCAAATGGCAGACGTTTTGATAAATACCATTAGCCCTTAAGCTAACTTCGGGCTTCACAGAGGGGAGAAATTTCTAAAGGGGAAAAATTCGAGAGGAGGAACAGAAGAGTGATTCACAGATGTAAGAGAGGCAGACAGACACACAGGTAGAGAAAAGGTAAGATGAGTACTGTGGAGTGGTGTAATCTGACATAGTGTCGGTTCATAGTAGTTAGAAGTCAACTGCCGGTTTATAGAATTTTTGCCGTATGAGTATACATTGGCCAGAGTGCACCATGTGGAGGTAAGTCTATCGTACACCATATCTAAATCATTATAAAAGACCTGATATCATCGGCCTCTCATGTTCCAAATATTTTTAAAAGGTGAAATGCTTTTAACTTCGCTTCGGCAGTATTTTAAAATTTATCCGACAAGATTACGACTTGTTATTTTATAAAACTAAGACCATTTGGCAGGAATTGTGAAAGTTATATTTGTGGCAGCTTTTAGAATGAACGTGTGATTAGATCGCGATTGAATATAGCGGCCACATATCTTAGATCTTTGAGCATTATTAAGTCACTTCAGTTTCCTTGCCATTTGAGATAGGAAATATTAATCTCTTAAAATTTCCCAACTGTTTAAAATGTAGTGCAATTAAAACTTATTATTATTAATTTTTTCCAATATCCTGTGAAAATGATATTTTAATGATTTTTTGTTTAAACCGCTACCTGCATTTGCCCACTTAGTCTAGCGCGTGTCCAAGTGAGTTTTGGACCCGTAACCCCTAAGTTCACAGATAGACCCAGTGACTGCTTCACCTCAGTAACTTAACTACCAACAAAGAACTGCTTTCCGCCTTTGCTCCAACCTCCACAATGGCGTAAATCATAAATATCGTCACCTGAGGACTTACTCCGTATCTACCTTGACACCCCAGTTCAGTTGGAACTTTAATACGAATTTCCTCCAGCTAACATTTTCAGTACTGGAACCGTTTCAAATATCCCCGTGATGAATCAGCTTGACCTTAAACATTTCATGTGAATATTTTCTTTGCAATTTTCTACTGTGACTCAGGTTGACCTCAATTCCTATTTCTAAAATATGGACTCCCTGTGACCTGAAAATGGAGCAATCATCATTAAGTAAGGTTAATTTAACCAATTTATAGTTATCATTTGGGAAAAAGTATGGGTGCCCTTTCTTCGCCTGATGAAGAACATGTCACTTGTATTTGATTGGTCAGTTTGCTCAAATGAGAGAAATTTTTAAAAGCATGCAAATAAACGCGTCATACAAGACTGAACACGGCTATGTTCAGCGTAGAGATGATCAAACAGCAAATTGTAGGTGGATTTCTTCCAATATCTCTGGACTTTTTTCTAGTATTTGACAGCAAGTATAAATTTAAAATAAACCCTGAGGGTGATTGGGTGGCAGTGGAGTCAGAAATAGACTTTCAAGTGCAAACTTACATTTCATGGTGCAAGGTGTACACGTGTAATTGACAGAATTTGAATGAATCATTTCTTTAATCATGAGGTGTGCGATAGACTTACCTCCACATGGTGCACCCTGGGCAACGTATACTCATACGGCAAAAAAGTCTATAAACCGGCAGTTAACTTCTGACTTCAAACTACCATCACCCCACTGTATGCCATATTCGATATCTTTCACAGTATTCATCTCACCTTTTTCCTACCTTTGTGCCTGTCTCTTTCTACATCTTTGAAACACTCTTCTGTTCCCCTCCCCCCCTCTCGAATATTTTTCACTTTGATATTTCTTCTCCTCTGTGAGGCCTGAAGTCAGCTAAAGGGCTAATGATAACTATCAAAACGCCTGCCATTTGATGTAAATAAAAAATAAATTTCATCAAATGCTATTTCTTGACTCGGCGAAATCTACTCAATTATGTTATTGCTTAATTGATAGCCAAGACAGCTAAATTTACCCCGAATTCGATGAGAGGAACAAGCGAACTCCAGCAATTGACTCAAATTCTCCCTTACAACCACCCATAATTTAAGTAATTTATTCTATTGTTACGTCCATTTAGGTAAGAATGGTGCAATTAAGCATGTGGCTAGTGCTTTATGTTCACTATTGGTCAATTTTAAGCCACACATGATTTAGCTTTCCGGCTTATTTTTCCTATGCATGAGGAACTACAAAAATGTTGGTGTGAAGTGACATTGATGACTCAAAGTGCGCCACGCCCATTTAATACATTCAGACGATATCTTTATCCATGCCTTTCATCCAGTACAATCTGCATGTTCCTTTCCCCTGGCGCTAACATTCCAATACTAACGAGAAAAATGAATTCCGAGAATTACTAAGTCACCTAATGTAACATGCTAGTAGCTAACCGACAGTACTAAACAATTAAATAATTGGTTTTCTGGGTTTTGACTATGCTTATTCCAGTTCTTAGCAGAGTGCACCTTCTAAGTCTATGAGTAAGCCTAATGAGAGTGGGTGATCTAATCTATTTTCAGTGAAAACGATAACTCATCTTGCACTGTACAAATAATTGTAAAAATGCCGTGAAGAAACGCGTGCATTCCATTCTGACGGTACCGTTCATGATTCGAAGAATTAATGCATCCAAACTGAGCAACTTCCAGCACACAACGTGATTAGCAGAATTAAATCCAAAAGGGAATCAAGCCCCCTCAGTTATCAACGGAGGAAGGGAGGGAGGGGTGAAAACGTAACACCACAACCCCACTCAAGCGAAATGGGAAAAAAGCGTTTCTCTTGCTACCTCAACCCATTTCAGATCTTTTATCTATTGAACAGGAGGCAGGACACAAAAATGTAGAGTGAAAAAAAAGAAATAGAGGAGGAGTAACGGAAAGAAGATTTGTTCTGGGAGGAAGAGAAAACAAAAGTCTAGGAAGGAGCAATCACCAAAAAATTACCAACACCCAAGAATCCTCTTTCCATATCTAATCACTCCCACACGAAACAAACAAGCAAACGCGATGCACATCCAAATTGTGAACGCACACGAATTCATGACATGGAGAGAAGTGCGCCCAGTAAGATAGGTGGGGAAAGAAATAGCAGCTGATGCTGAGATTAAATTTACATGGCAGATCGGTGAGCGAGTATACTTTGGAGGTGGAACAGATCAGTAGAGGGCGGGAGAGGAGGAGGAGGAGGAGGGGAGAGAAGGGAAGACCTGACGAGAATGCATTGAGACAGAGGCGAGGGAAGGGGGAAATGCAGTCGTTTGTACCAGGGGATGGAAGAAACATGATCATAAGAAGCTCTAATAGAAGACTATCCACATTTGAAAATTTGGGGAGGGGGATTGCACGATCTGCAAATAAGAAAAATCGATAATTGCCTACAATTGTGAGTCATCAATAGTTTGAGGAAAAGAAACTTACGCAGTGTATTTTAGGTTTTATTAGGATATAATGACAGGAATCTTTGTTAGAATCTTTCCTCTGAATTAGCCTGAAAGTGGAACAAACGGTTAATGATTAGACTATGTAAAGGATTGAAAACTTACCGTTAGACGCATTCCCAACCGTCCCCATGGCAAGATTAGATGCAGGTGGATGCGGTTGTTGGGGTTCATCAGAATGCCTACAAAGTATGAAAATTATTAATGGCAAACCCCACCCTTTAATCAATTCTGAAAATTTTTGTTAAAGAGAAATTTGTTTATTACCCATGTAGATTTTCACGAAGTTGCAAATCGTTCTCGTTTACGACATATTGATTACATACTATAGAAACTACCTGGTGTGAAGTTATTGCTTTATGGGACTACTTGACTACTTTAGGTCAGTGTGTATTATTCATTAGTACCGTATCTTACCGACTTCTACCACTTGGTAGGGGTCTCATCGTTTGAGAAGTGTCGTGAAACGGATAGAACCTGCTGAATAGCTTCTTTGACTTCGCGGCCACCATCTGTAAACTATTCCGGGAACACAATAACCCTTTATGGACTACTGTTTATATTTCGTTAAAAATGACGATAACCGATTAGAACAATTGTAAACTGAACTCACATATTGCTGCTTTGAGAAGACACTGCATTATCAGTTGAAGGATTAGTGGCAATAGCACCGGACACAGATGTGGTCAGACGCTGCGAGTTAATACCACCAAGTCCACCACCTGAGAAGAGGTTGGTCAGAAGGGGAGAATTAAAGGTTGTTGATCGAGGAGCATTCTCAGGGAAGCCATTCTGCTGCTGACCTCGAAGTTCGGGACCATCGCCCTCCCCTTTGATGGTTGCCGATTGAAAGACTCCATTTGATGACTCCACCTAGGGATGAAGAAATTAAGAAAACTCGAAATAAGCATCTATGCTAAAGAGGATAACAAACCACCAGGAAAGAGCAAAAAGACCTCTAAGGTGTGTCAAAGACAGAAAATAGGCTCCAAGAAGCGTAAAAAGGATTGCAAAGGATGAGGAGTAGCGGCGACCATCTCTTAGCTTATAGACTACAATCTTTCACTTCGACGAAATGTCGTGGAGCTGAGTGTAATTCGTAATCTACCCTGGCCTTGCCTTGCCTTACTCGGTTGAGTGGCACACACTGTGGTGTAAGGATATGTGCTGCTCCTTGGTTAAACAAGGCTGCAAGGTTACTCTTAACATTATTGTGAAATAATAAGAGACAAGAGGTTGGTCAAACAGGTCTCTCTTCTAAGCATTACTGCACAAGTATGGAAGAGCAGGCTTAGCCTCTGTGGAGGTGTGAATTAGAAAGGCGGTTACGTCGCCAAACTAAATGAAATTTCGAATAATCGGGATAGTCAAAAACACCACCTGTGAGAAAAAGGGGAAACGTACCACCCAGCCACCTTCGCATTCGAGTTTTGACTGGAACTCAGCGCCCCCAAGGCCTGAAGTCAATTACGACTTGAGTTAGACGAAGGTTGTTGGCTTAAGGAGGAAGTGTCATCCTTCTATGCTATATTATAAAGCTATAATTAAGACCATTGATACAAACTTTTGATTTTATGGACTGAAAGAGGCGCGCTACATGCAAACTACTGGCTTTCGAAGGTCATAAAAAATGTAATCACGCTACGCATATACCGCGATGCCAGCAGTGCCTGTTTATGGTAGAGGACGCCAAAACTAATGCAGTAGTCGGTTCAAATCAGGTAAATGCCTGTTCGCAGGCCACTCTGGTCACTCAAACTACACCACACCAATAGCCGTAAGGTCAATATCACACTCTCTCCCATAAGGTCAACACGCAAAGTGGGGGGGCTTAACAAGTGTGAACTGGAACAAAAAGTGATTTACTTATTCAACCGTAGAAGAGTTAGTTGTACATCTTTAAAGTGGTTAAACATTTCACTCCAGATACAATGGTTTCGAAAGGAATTACATCGTTCCAAGGAGAAGGGTTTATTTCAGAAAAAAGCGTAGACAAGTACAATGGTGTTTAGTCGGCCCAACCTCTCTCCAAGTAGCTTAACATATGCCTGTAATGCGAAGTTAGCTCCGATAGTAACATACAACCTCTCTCAAAATTATATCAAATTTTATAGCCACCGTAGCTTACAGTCAAAGTAGAAAAAAAGGATATTCACTTTCAGTGGCTTATAATAAGAGGAAATAGATAATGAAAGCGTTCCAATTCATTAGTTCCAATCATCGAGGTTGAGTTAATAAGGTTGGAAAAATTAGCTGTTGTGACTAATGTCACCAAAGTAGACTAAGAAAGGTTTCGCTTCACTTATTTTTGAGTGGAATAGCGACATGGAGCCTGACTAAATAGAAATTCAAGTTCTTTCACCAAAATTGCTA